GCAGAGATATAAACTGATATAAACTTTTATGGCCAGATATTTTTCCTCTCTGGAAAACCTTTTTGGATGAAAACCAGTTCAGAAAGAATATTCCTTCATTTATTTCACAATGGGAATATTTATGAGCACCAAGCAGAACTGGAGGAAAACCATGAGTGATATGGACGGATGATAAATCATCATGGACTTGCATGGAGAGCATAAACTGTTGTCAACTGATTGATAATAGAGCAAGGGACACTTTCAGATGATGGATTTATTCCTGAATGGTTACTGAAATCTATTGATTTTTTATAGTTAAAGTAGAAAAATCACCACATTGATAAAGGGGAGTGGCGGCCTAGTGGTTGGGGCATAGAGCTATGAATCTAAAGGTTTTGAGTTTGAGCCCCACTCCCACAGACTGCCACTCTGGGTCCCTGAGCAAGACCCTAAACCCCACACTGCTCCCTGGGCGCTGCACCATGGTAGCCCTCTGCTCCCCGACGGTTAAATGCAGAGAAGGAATTTGCTAGTCTATACTAGTCTACAGTAAAGTGACATGAAGTCACCCATAAATCAGGGCAGGGCTGTTTCAGAGCTCTAGAAGCTTCCCGTCCTGGAAGCAAGAACCAAGACCTCCCATCGCTGAAAGTTTGTCTCCATCTGAGCTGCTGGATAAAGAGCGGTGTGTAACTGCGCCCCCTACAGCCCCAGGATTGGCTGGACTGATGACAGGAATGTCAAAAACCTTTTTTAAACCTACATATGAGCAGCAACTTCACCTTTCATGATCCATGTAAGGAATTCTGTTCTCTAAGCATCATGAAGCAGTAGTATCACCAGAGGTCAGAGGTCATTTAACCAGGCAGTTGGCCGCCTTATTTAGGCAGAACGTAACGCTTCATATGCAGGAGGAGGAGGTGTTTTTAGGGCTGGTCAGCATCTACCAGCCTCCTCCTGTAGAGTGCTCTATGAGTGGTGCTGTCAGGACTAATGCAGGTAGAATAAACTCTGTCTGGATGGTGCCTTGATGTGGATCCATAAACTAAAGTGTGAGCAGACGGTTGTGTGTGGCTCTTTGGGGACCTTGTCTCTTTAATTCCTACCTGTTGCTGTCACTGTGTCGTGCCGTGCTGCAGATTATATGTCAATGTGGACACCCGTCCCTCTCTCCTCTCCCTCTCTCCATCTCTTTATTGACACTTGACTGTCTATGATCTCGTGCAGGTCACTAAGGATTACAGACTGGCAAGGGTTTCTGGTCCATTGACATATAATGACATTACAACTGCTTCATCGGAAGGGAGGAGGGACATTTGGACAGACAGAGAGAGAGGCTGGGATGAAGCAGAAGCAATTGATACAGGTCAGATTAGAAACCGACAAAACAAGCCAAACTGATGCATCATTTGTTTGCCTTTCTGCTCAGATCGGAGCCAAATCACGCCTCCCTTCTGGTGCCAAATCCTTCTGGTGACTTTAAATCAAACAGAATATTTAGATTTTTATCTTGATTAGAAAAATGTATTTCCTAAAGTTCAAACTGAAACTGAATTTTTAAATATTAATGTAGACATAAAAAAGTGTTTTGTTTATTTGATAAGAAGCTAAACTGGATCTGATTGCCTCAGTTGATCATCAGGAACTGATGCGATCGTTTCAGCAGCAGCACAGATCCTTTCTCCATGAAAAATCCTCTGTTTCATTCTTCTGTTTTGTTTGATCATTTTTACATGTTTGGACAATCTTCTGCTGACCTTTCCTGCTAAGATTTAACCCTTTCTTGCATGATAAAGATCAGATTTAATGTTTTATTTTAGCTTTAGGTCAGGATGGAACAGTTCCATTTTTTCTAACTATAATGATCAGAAACGTCAGATTTCTTTTGAAAAGTCAACAAAAACTCATTTCCATCCCCTCTAAGAGTCCCTGGAAGCACCTGTGCTCCAATCTGGGAAACAGATTGATGTTCCGAGGTCAAAAGTTATCTTCATGTTGATAACTGATCACAACCTTTGATGACGTCCGACAGGACGTCTAACGGCCTCATAAACTAAACAGGCTTAAAGAGTTGATGATTTTAAAGTTCCTTTTTTTTTTACCAAAAATGTAAACATGACAAAACTGTATGAAAGGATATAAAACGTCAAGCAATTGAGCTGTAGTCTCTGCTGACTGCTTCTTGCCCTGATTCTTAACACAGGCGACCAACTGAGCAAAGCTTTTCTCCGCATCCATCAGCAGCCCTGAACCAGCCGAGGGAACAGGGAACTGAGTGATCATCACTTTGCAATTAGGAAAACCTCCTGATCTCCATTCATTCTTAGTTTGTTTTTTTTTTTTACCTTGATTCGTCTAAATAAGTCTTAAAAAGCAGCTGAGTTTTTCCAGCAGGACTGTAATTCAGCACCACGGCCAGCGCCCAGAGGGACTTCCTCTCCTGGGTGGCGTTGGACGTGTTGGACGTGTTGGACACATTGATCTGAGCATGCAGCTGGTTCCAGCTCCTCTGGTAAAGAGATGAAATATTTTCCCCTTGAATCTAAAGTGAACCAGAAACAATCAGAAAATCTCTTTTCTGGCTTCGAGCTCAGTCTCCTCCACAGTTACAATGTCTACTTTGAGGCCGGCTGGCCTCCCACTGGGAGCGCTCATTAACACGGTTGTTTGTTTTCAAATAAATGGAGGCTCCCGGCACCCCCCCCACCCAACCCCCCAGGTTTAATCCTGGCCATTTATCTAAGTTTCTGGCTCCCAACCTGACACTCCTAAAACATATTTTAATGAGGTGCCCGTCATGTTGAGATGCTTTAATTGCCTCAGATAAGCAACAATAGCTGTAAGCAGATCTTCAGGACCTTCTTTCCAGACTTTCCTACCTTCAAGTCAGAGCTTTCCAAACGTAGCTGTGAACATCTCTGGATGTGTTGATAGATTTTTAGCGGAGGGGGGGGTGCATGCCTTGCTTATGTATAAAATGTCCAGCCTCTGAAACATGACATGAAGGAACATTTGTGTTTTAATGAGTGCAAATGTGTCACTTGCATTGTGTGATTAACATTGTTTTGTTGAAATGATTCCTATCCTGGGAGCAAAAAGAGCTGCGTTCAGGAACCACATGTGCTTGTTGGAAAGTGGTCGCTTTAAATTCTCCCTGAATGCCAAGCAGCTGTACTGTGACTGCAGACACAGCAAACAAACAGCCATGAAGGGGATGTGGACTTAATATGCTGGCCATGCCTGCCTCCTCTCCCTGTTCGTCCTCTACCTTCCCTTAACCCAGAGTACTGAAGCAGACCTGGGGTTCAACAAGGAAACACTAAAGTGTCTATTAATGCCTAACAAGTATGCATGACTGCAATCAGAAGGAGATGCAGCGTCAGCCAATGTTCTGACGATACTGTTCTGATAGGGAACTGATTCTGCAGCTTTCCTGCACAGAACCAATCGGCTCCAAGGACAGTGAGGAAAAGCCCTCAACAGAGGGGAGAAAAGACCTTTAAGAAGCCTAAGAACATGGAACATGTGTGTTTTTCTGACACAGGAAGGTTTCAATGAATCTTTTAAGATTATTTCAGTGAAACTAGAAGCTGTGCAGCCAGACTGCTCTCCAACAAGCAACGCAACATCATTTTGGCCCCAGGATTTTTTTTTCTCCATGCATCTAACATTTAATACTCGGCAGCCAAGTTTGATTTCAAAATAAACACATGATTTGGTTTCTGTGGCCTCAGTTCTTATTGGGCTTCTCCAACCACAGAATGGAGTCAGTCTATCTGCTGGCATCCATCACAATCACTAACGGCCTTATCAGGAATGCATGGAGCCTCAGCAGAGCTGAATCAGTTAGAGCAACTGGCCCATCGCCAATCTCAGCCTCTGTGTCCCTTCTCCCCTCCCTTTCTCCCCCTTGTCTCCCCCTGTCCTCCTCCACCTCCCCACTCCTCTTGTAGGACAAGGAGGTGAATCTGGAACAGGTGCATCGCCGTATGAACAGTCTTTTGGACGAGGACTTGGCCCACAAGCAGATCCCCGGACCCTCTATCGAGATCTCTGCGCTGGACATCGGCAGCGTGCAGCCCAGCCAGGGCTCTCTGGTTCCGGGCCCGGAATACCCGCCATCGGGTCTCACTGTGACCACCTACCTGCCCGGGGAGGGACCCCCACCTCCCCCTCTTCCCCATCCTCACCATGGGGGGACCCTAGGCAGGACGCTGCCCCAATCCCAGGGCCCTGGGTTGCCCCCCCACCACCCTCTCAGCAGCACCAGCCTCAGCGGCACCATGCAGTGCAAACACCGGGCTCCCAACGGGGGGCTCTTCCGGCAGAGCCCTGGCAAGACACCCATGCCAATATCCTACCAGGCAGTCTCCGCAGGACCCATACCCGAAGCCATTGATCCCTCCCACAGTACATCCATATAGAGACAGGATGGGAGGGGGAGGCAGGAGGGGGCG